TCTCTCTCTCTCTCTCTCTCTCTCTCTCTCTCTCTCTCTCTCTCTTTCTTTCTTTCTTTCGACTATTTGTATATGATGGCGCTGTATGATGTGCCGTGATGTGGTGTCGTGTCGTATTTCTGTGAGAGCGCGCGCGTTCGGGACGACACGATAGCAATGCGTTCGAGCCGTTTCACTCGTTTATCATTGTTTATTTGTATTTTGAAATCATGTCACGTATTTTATTCGCATACACTACTCACGGTCCGATGCTTGACTGTCTATCTCTCGTTTGCGTTATCGCGTTTTGGACAATTATTATGAGAATCTAAAATTTCGATGCTGTATCTGTTCTATATAATATTGTCTATAGATGTATGTACGTATTTATACGAAGCACTATCTATTGGGCATTTAGATTATCACTTTGATGTCCGACCTTTCCGGCGGTCAGTACGTTTTTGACGGCGAAATTCAGTCCCAAATAAGAATAAATCAAATTTTCATCATCAGCTAAATTTTCATCCTTCACATCAGTTATTGTTATTAATCTCGCTGTTTCCGATTTTGCTCGATTTCTGTTTGGCTTCCGTTTCTCAGCGTTCGGTCTTTCGGTTGTATGCGTGTGCTGTTCCTCTTGTTATTTTCGTTTATGTGTGTACTTGCTTGCGCTGCTAAATGTTACCAAATCACAAAATTTTAGTGCAGCAAAAAGGCAATGCAAAAAATGGCAGAAAGGATCGAAAACGCCAACGATAATGAGAGAGGGAAAAAAATAGCACAACAATACAACGAACTCCGTTGATATGATACAAATCGGCTAGCAGAGGTTTTATTCCAATGCAGTCACTTTTTTTGCACTATTTAATCGCACAACAATCCAAGTCAATCAATGCAAATCGCTGGAAATTGCAAATATTTCGATTATTCACCCAATTTTTGTTTTAAACTGGAAAGTAACGATTATATCACTTGTTTTCACCTTTTGTAATTCACTTCGTTGAACGATTTGTATGTAAAAGAATTTATGTGTGTGAATGAAGAAATTTTTGATGTAACCGTTATACTTTCGGCTTCCTCTCGCATTTGTTTCACCACCCGTTTCGACAATCAAAAGGATACTAAAATTGCTATCGCACTGGAAATATGTATTAGTAGCCGAATAAACGATTTATTTGGTGCTGCTTTGCTGCCTGCTGTGTATTTGTGTATTCCTGCTGATTTTTTTTTATCATTTCGTTTTCCTATGTGCCGATTTAGGTACAGGCTTTTCTTATCCGAAAATTGTTTGCATGTCTTGGTTGTGAAGCTATTGTGTGTGTGTGTTTCTAGTCCGTGTATGTCAATTGTTGCCATTTCATTCTATTCCATTCACTAATCGGCCAGTTTTTGAGTGTGTGTGTGTTTATATATATATATATGCGCACGTATATGTATGATTGTTTGGAGGGTCCCTCGTTTTATTTGGCAACCAACACTTTCCCATTTCAACACAATCGGTCGTCTCGTATGGAAGCGGTGGCAGTGTGTGAGTATTTGTGTGTGTGCTAGCATTGTGTTCAAACGTTTATGATGTTGAAGAGCGCAACCTCAGTTTTCCGACACCGATACATACTGCCATTCGACGCACTACAGAGAGAAAATTCTGTTTAGCTACCACTCGCAATATACATATTTTCCCATTACCCTCTTCGAGAACGCTTGATTCAGTGAAAAATATGTTTTGTGTATTGCTTGGCTGCGACTATGTTCATGCTCGGCTATTGCATACACCCATACACAGAGTCGGCCAGCGACGAGAGAGTCACGATTTTATATTCACACACATCAAAAAAATCGATAGAATTCCCGTTTACTATGATCCAAAATAGTCGCACGCAGACGACGACTCCAAAATTTGTGGTGCTTATGCTACGGGAAAAAATAAATACACACAAAACACCATATATTCATAGATAAATGAATCTATCCACATATAGCTCCCATATCCAGATCATTTCGAAAAGCAAAGGCTTGCTGGCCGAAACCATTACACTTCGATATTTCGAACCTCTTAAAAGCAATCCAATTTGAAGCGTGTACGACTTCCAAAAGTATCAATTGATACGCCATTTGATTTCGGGATGCAATTTTATTTTCGAGCGTGGCCAACATGCTTTCTCGTTTGCCTGATCCCTCGAAATCGCCAACTCGTTAAAATGGGGAAAAGGTCGTCGCGCAAATCCCAAATTAGCTAACTTGATTAAATGAGCTTTACAAATGTCGAATTTTCTTATTCAGCCGCTCGCTTTCCGCAAGAAAAAAACTTAATGTATAGCATAATCAACGGCGTTTCATGTTTCATCGTTGAGGTGAACGTGAGCGGACGGCAAACATTTTACATGTAAATGTATTACCTCAACGTTTAGTAATTAGGAGATGTCTTCGATTCAATTGACGTTCAACAACGACGACGACCCAGTGGCACTAGAAACAGCAATGATAATATCACTATCGAGAGCCAATATTGGAATTTATCGAAAGACACTCGCGAAGTTGTCAAATTTGAAATAAATTAATTGTGTACGGAAAGGCTCGTCGAATTAGATGATGGGGTCAAACTTAAGGCTTCGCGAATTGTCGAATTATCCGTGTGCTTATTTTTTTTTGCTTTTCTTATTTTATTGCCATTGGTTTTCACGGTTCGGCTCGACTATAGCTCTCCTGTCTTGTTCAATTATATTGAATTTCGTGCTATTTCCTTGCATCAAATTAAATTTTCATTTCAAACCATTGCGCATCGAACTCGCCCCTGACTCCAAAGTGCTCTTTGGATTGCTACTCCGATTTCGCTCCTTAATAATAAACGACCGAATGTTTTTGACAGCCGGCTTTTAATCTCAAATTTAACTTTAAAATTGGATCATCGAATCTAATTGTGCGATTCGCATGCGATCCCATTGCAAAGTTCAGCCAAACGAAACGAATTGCAAGGAAATTTCCAAAACTCAGTCACTCACTTACTCGTGCACACCACTCACCAATAATGCATTTTGAATTGTCCACATCCCCTTCTGAAAAGAATAAATGGTTGAATGGATGAATGCATGAAGATGATGTGTGCAAAATTATACCGAAAAAATATAATCTCCAAAGCAGAAGCATGTGACATAACTCTAATAAACCAATAAATAAGCTTTACTCTTCGAATATTCGAATATTCCACATTATTTATCTTTTGTATTTTCGCATCATTCGCCCATCGCATTTCTCTTTCTCTCTTTGTTTTATTTTCGTTTTAGTTGCCCGGCTCTGTGTGTTATTCTTTCATTCTCTTGGTGTGTAAATGCGAAATGTGTTATTATTTAGCTCACCCTTCGTTTTCATATTTCCTCCATTCAGTTCCGTTGTCAATCATTATAGCATGTTTTCCCCTCAAACGAATCGCACGCACTCATTGTGCACCATCAATAATAACACCGTCATCAGCAGCACGATCTCGGCATAGAGTGTGAATGGTGCTAAAAAATGCCAAGCCGGAGAGAGTTTGGTAAGCCGGTCAAAGAGGAAGAGAGAGGAAGAGAGAGGGAGAGAGGAGAGAGAGAGAGAGAGAGAGAGAGAGAATAGGAGCATGCCATTGAGTGGAGGCTAAGAGATAATCGGTAAAAGTCAAGTTCAAGCGCACTTAACTCGGATAATCGGTAATCCATTGCATTTAATTTAACGCTACACTCTTCTAAAAATCATTTTCCTTGACTTATGACGTATTAAACAACAGTTGTAGTTATGCCTGATTTGATCTCAACCGACAACATTTACTATGCGCACTATAAAAGTGAAATCGATTATTCGGTTAAATTATGTGAATTGGAATATTTATATCTTAGTATGAAAATGCCATAGAATAGGATGTAATGGGGGACAGAAAAAGACTTCTTTGTTGGAAGAATTTTGAAAGAATTTAATTGAGAAACTACCAACAATGTCAACGTTCATTCAATAAAATATTTGCTTCATTGAGTTGTCTCGCAGTTTCTTTCAATCAAAGAGCTGAATGCCCTAGATCTGGTTACATTTTGCGTGTGTGAATGTGTAAATGTGTACTTGTATGTCCCTTTTCCATGTACAAGATAAAAGAATCAAATTCCCTTTTTGCTGCGAGGCTGTCAGTCATACGAGCACGTTCATCATCACGAAGGCACTCCGTTTCATCATAAACGCAACCGATATTTTTATTTTGTAATAAATCTCATTTTATTGAGTGCTATTGCAGCCATACAGCCCCGTCAATGGGCAGATTATTTAGTTATTTCCTCACAGTGAAAGCCATCTGATACCTAATGCGATCGGCTTGGATTTACCCATTTTGATTGTCATAATAAAAAGTGATTTTCGTTTTATTCGACTTGATTTGTGTGCACTTTTTGTCAGACTTATTTCTTTTGGGCCAGATCGGTCAGCAGCATCGATCAATTAATTCTCGGTTGGTTTTTTTTTCGTCGTGACAAAGACTCATTTTTATCTTATAACAATATGAAAACGTTGATGTACTCATTTTGAAGAAGAAGAAAAAACACCGAGTCCGAAATTGAAATGTACATAGGCTGAACGTGTTATAATTAATCAACGATTTTATTTTTTTCTATGCTTGCCATTCTCGCTTCTCCCATTTGGTATTTGCTCTTCTTTTTGGCGCCTGACCTTAATTTGTATACCATCGAAATGAGATTAACATTTAAATTTAGCTTATTTCGTTATAAACATATCGTTGAGAGCAACAGAGTCATACAACACACGACGAGCAAATGAAGAGAGGAGAGCAGGGACAAATGCACACCTCAACAGAAACATTTCTTTCTCTCTCACTCTGTCTCTGTCTCTATCTCGCTCTCTGACTAAACTAAAATAGTCCAACGCAATCGTACAATTCTTGCTTAATTTGTGTAAGTCATTGTTTGACCCTTGCACAAAATTCTCTTTTGAAATCGCCCTTGAAATCAATTTATATCGTTCACTCGACGATGT